TAAAACTCCTGAGTTCTTTTTCAAAGGCACAATTCACGACAATTTTGGGTAACCCAGATTATGACAAAAAATGGAAGATAAGATGGAAAATAGTGCGATGGAGGCGATGGAACTGCGTGGATTGGTGTTTCCAAAGTGAAAAGGCTTCAAAAAAAAATGAAAAAAGGGAGTGGACAAGAATGAAACCAGAAGAAGAAAGAAGAGTGGGGCGTTTGGACGAGCTACTCACAGTGCGTCATTGCGTACGTGTGGGTCCTGGTACAAATAATTGACTACGGTAAGCAAAAATTTAATCACTTATAAGCATAAGTAAACAAAAAAAACCACTTACAGCAAAAATGGCTCACCTCTTTCAGCCTCTCGGGATAAGAAATCAAAATATTGTCGCGGCAGCAAAAAGAAAAAGAGCGGAAAAGGGAGTGAGAGAAGAACATCGCCTCATTACTCGGCGATCAACTTATTGTGTGTGGGTCCTAGAACGAACAGTAGCAAACTGTACTGCCTCTACCTTCGCCTGACGTGGCATCGATCGAGAGGCGGGAAAGCCATCAAGCCAGAAACAGGGCTTCCACTATTCTCTGACCGTCGAGGTTTCAGGTGCGAGAGGGTCCCTTCTACCTCCAATGGGGGCCACTGAGTATTCCTAGGGGAAGAACTCAGTAACCAATCTTATCGTGAACCGTACCTTTGAGAGACCTGCCCCTTTGAATGAGACTTTCTTTCTAATTACTCCTACACTTGAATGAATGAACTACTGAACCGTAGAACATGCCACACGAATGAGTGACTGCTCGTTGCCCATGTGTACCATTTCTTGGACCGCTTTCCACTTTGGGTGTTTTCCTTGTTTTTTTTACAGAGAACAGACTAACCTTCCGGAATATTTCCATAAAGAATCTCAACGTAATTATCACGATCGTATCTCATATGCTCATGCCATAAGCCGCAAATGTGCAGCAGCTCGTGAATCACAGCTCTTGGTTTGATGCATCTGAAACATCATCCCTGGAGAAGAGCATTCTTCGTTTAGTATGTATAGGCTTCGAAGGCTTGGTTTTAGTAGATACACTTACGATGTTTTTTCGTTAGATTCGAGTTGCAAGCGGGCACGGCCCTTTGCGCGTCCGACGTGCGCGAAGCAACTAAAATCACTTTTTCAAAATCCACTTTTTTTGAGTTTGCTTTGCAGATTTTATTCAGAATCCTTTCATGCCTGACCAGGCACATAGTCACTCACCCTTGGCCTCGTTCGTTAATAATATCCACGTAGTCCTTTTGATCACTACGTTTAATGAACCGAATGCAAGTGTTGTTCGTGATTCGCCAGATAGCGTTTTGCATCGTCACTCTCTCGGAATAACCTTAACAACATTACAACTTTATTTTACTCAAACAGAACAGAGCTTAAATATTACAATCCCGTCGGCTAACATTTCAGTGGAGGGTCAGTGGAAATAGCACAGAAAATCGCTGAGCTCAACGGCTACAAACACCCTCCGCATTCTCATCGGTCCACGACAGGTGGTGGCTCCGGTAGACCTAGTAGAGATGTTCTGAACGGGAAAATCCCCTTCATGATACCTTTTAACTCTGATGAAGTAAGCGCTTTCATAAGGAGGTGTCTGAAGAAATCGGGCCTGGAAAACACTGTTGGCTTTGTGGATAGTCCTCCTAGCAACCCAAAACATCATCTCGTCTCTATACTCCACATGCGCTACAGAACTGTGTGGTATGTCCCACGGGCAGTGATGGATACTGTGCCATAGCAGTTGTTGTCTACAGGATCATCTGTCAAAATTGTGGAGACGAATATATAGGGGAAACGGCCAGACCGCTTTACGCTTTGGGGAGCATTTGGAGGGAAAGGCGAAATTGCGGCCATGTACTGCTTCAGGTTGCCACAGGCTTGAATCTCATAATGGAGACGATTTTGAGGTCATCGACGAGGTGCGGCCGCGCGCAAAGCCCTGGAGAGTCTGGATTTTCGTCAGGCATACAAAAAGGAACCAGAGAGGAGAATGTGTGTCAATAACGCGAGAACTGTTCCCTTATGTAAGGTTAGCCTTCCAGCCGGATCTGTGAACTCCGATCAGCCTGAAATACCTTAGTATTGTCGTCGTCGTGGGCTAACTCTGCTGATCTGGAAGGTATGGTATTAATTTAACTACTAATTATCCGATGATTCAATTGGTTCCGAAGGTCCCGTGGGGATGAGGCATTTGGTCAGATAAATCAAGGACTAGTTTCCACCTTTGTAGGCTCCGAAGAAGGCAAAAACGTTAGCCGACGGAATTGTAATATTTAACCTCGGGTTCTATTCGTGTTCGGTTTGAATAAAATAAAGTTGTATTGGAATCATGCTGAGGTTCATCGAAAATCGAACATGACGACTACTTAAGAACATTGTTTTACTAAAAAATCATTGGCCAAGGTTTGATGAGACTGCGTAGGAGTACCTGTTCTGCACAACTCTACAACACTCTTACTAAATCAATGCTCACTAAATGACCCAGTAAGAACGGCTGGTATGAGGATTTTCCCATTTTCGTCAGTAATATACCATTTTCTGAATGAATTCTTGAGCAGGGCATTGTAAGCTCTCCTGAAATATGAGGAACACTGATAGATGTTGATGGAAAAGACGATAAGCTGGCTTTAGAGCAATGGAAACATACGTGTCATTCCTTGGGAGATTCCAAAGTTGAATTATGTCTCCTTTTTCGGGATTATTGGAGATGGCCTCCGGTTTTGCCTAAATTATTTCATTGTGATTCTGAAACAAATATTTTTTCGTTGTGATTTTGTAAATTATGTTCTTTCCCCTACAAGTCTTCGAAACGTTTCTTTTCATACTCTGATGTGTAGAAATCAGGAAACGATCAGTTTACCAGTAATGATGCTTCCTTAATCCTCCATTTCCTTGTAGCTCGGCATTATTTAACCGAGCTAGTAAGGAACTTTTCTGGAGAAATTTTTCAAAAGAGCATCAGCATATGACTCGAATAGATAATTACTCGACGGGCTACGCGCGGCAAGAGAGACGTACATACATATGTGGGATGCGATAGGACCTCAAAACCGCCTCGGTGGCCTACAGTCGCCTAACATAAGCTAGCAGAGACGTTTCCAGTGGCTCCGTAGAGACTATTTCCATTCAAATGGGGCATGTTTGTTGTAAACACAGTCAGCTGATACAAACAGTGACGGCTTACCCACTTTGCCGTGCAGCTTCTGAAATCTCACCCGAGTACCCCCTTCGTCATCATTACCCGTCCAATAACAAAAATTCAGGAATTACAAGGTGTCCCAAAATTATTTGCGCCGATTTATAGCAATATATTTGAAACTTCTCAGCTGCGAAAGACGACGGAATTTCTATCGCGCTAGCTAACACTATGTGCTACAAAATGCTAAAGTCGCATTCCAAAATATCCTCCGTGAGCGCGAATAGAAGTCAAAGTTTGCTCTTGATCGCATGTGGCACACAGGTATCCTTCTC